GTGGGGCAGTGGATCGACGTGATTCGCGACCCACCGCCGTCCTTTCTGGAAACCATAGTCGTGGCCTACGAGATGGTCGAGCTAGGCGAGTTGTATAGGACAATAAACGGCGACTTTACAAACTTGCCCACGCACGACACGTATTATTCCGACAACATCGTGCACCGAGAGTCTGGTGCAAAGTTTCGTCCAAACGCGCGCGACAACGTGCGAAAGGAATTCAAGTATCGCGTTTCCAATCGCCCCAACTACAGGATCGTGGACGACTCGGAAAAGAGACCGCTGGGTCCGTCCACGGATAGCTTCTTCCATTCGACCGGCGGAGGCCGCTACAAATCGACTCTGCGTACCAGACGGACGGTGTACGAGACAAATAATAATAATAATAATAATGAGCCCAAGTTTCACGGAAATTCGGACGACGACTACGCTGAGCGCAACGTGGATAGCGACGACGACGCTGAAGACGGTGACGACGGTGACGACGACGTCATCGACGAGATCAGGCGCTACAAGTACAAGAGATACTACACCGAAAGCGATCACATTATGCGAGCTTTGCGCAACGTCTAGTACGTGTCTTTTTTGAAATAAACAAACAATCATTCGAGAGGCTTTATTTTTCTACATACACAAAACGTATGTATATATACGCGCGCCTGCCGAAGCGCGTCGACAAACGTAGAACATGACCGGAGTAGCATCCAGCGTGTCCAAAGTGTTTCGCGAGGCCACCAAGTTTGATCAATCGCGAACCTTCGACTGGAGCAGAGTAGTGGCCAACGTTTATTCGGAAGACTCAAATGAGGAAGAGTTTGAACGAGAGAGGGTCGTCCTGTTCTCCGAAATTTGTAAACTTTCTCATGTGTCCGCGAACGCTCTGACCGTTTTGGACCTTGTCGACTATCCGACCTTGGAGGACGCACAATTGTTGTACATTGTTTGTACGTATACGCACCTCAAGACCATACTCCTGAGGAACGCCCCCCTATTGTCAAACTCTGCTCTACAATACTTGGCGACCTACGCTCAATCTCTCGAACATCTTCAAATCAGCAACAACGGTTGCCGTATCAGGAACGAGGGATGGATTCATCTGGCTCCTTTGCGTCGACTCAAGAGTTTGTGTCTGACTGGAATAAGAAACGCCAGTCGAGCTGTCCTTCGAGTGATATTGCAGAACAACGAATCTATATACGCTATCTTGGTGATAACGACGGAACTCTTCGCCTCTAAAGATAACGTGACGCACTTTGTCTTTTGCGCTTCGAATCAGTTGAGTCAGGAAATGTACGATTTTGTTTTTTGTAGCGAAACGTTATCTCCGTTTTCAGATAGCGAGTGAGGGTATATATATATATATATGTACTCGCACGTACTACGCTTACAGCAAAGCTAACCCTACCCTCTCCCCCGACATCACGACACGACACGACTACTACCCTATAACCCAAAGCGACAATGGCTCGACTAGACAGGTCCCCATCTCTCCCGCTGGCCGACACCTGCGTACAAGTGTTCGCTCAGTCCAGAGTGTCAAGCGCGGTGGATTGGAAAACAGTGGTGCTTAGTATATACCACGAAGAAGAGGGCTACGCTTGGGACAACGTGGAAGGGCAAATTCACTGTGCGTATACCGAAATTTCAATATTAAGAAGCTTTCCTACGCACATCACATTCTTGGAGTTGGTGCACTATCCAATGCTGCGAGACCGCCACGTCAGTGATTTGGTTCCTTTCTACCCGAACATCAAGACTTTGCTCCTACGTCACGCACCCGGCTTGACCAACGACTCTGTAAAGTGCTTAGCGGACGGTCTACCTAATTTGACTCACTTGCAGATTGATCGTGCCTAGACCTAGACGACGAAGCCTTGATGTATCTCGCAGAAAAGAGGATCATCGACGTTGGCATACGGAGCCTCTGCATGACCGGACTCGGATTTATACGCCGAGAAACGCTTCACCAATTTCTCAACGTGCATCGAAGACTGACTACTCACCGCTAGAGACGTCCCCAACAAGGACGTCTACCTTGGTGAATACACTTTGTGTATTTCTAGCACAGTGTCTCCGTCACTAAGAAACATTGCGCCAACCGACCTAGACGTTATCGAAGGTGTGGACGGTGTTGTGGGTGACATCGAGTACCAAGACCTCGACAGTGACGACGGTGACGGTGACGACGGCTACAGTGACGACTACGACAGTGACGCCGACGAATATCTCGAATCGGACGACGACAGAATGCTGGGTCCGATCGTCCTAAACACCTTCAACTACGACGAAGGAGAAGACTCAATGGGCGAAGAAGACGACTGAGTTATGCTTGAAAATAAATATTTCGCGTGCTTATATTTTTGAGTCACGAATCGTTCTTTTGCATGCACACTACACTAGTGCCAGTACAAATAGTTTATTTAATGAATTCGATACATTCCACTCACTGCAGATTTACAAAGGCAACACACAGATTGCTCTCTCGAATTGTAAATCATTGGAAATAGACAATTTAAACATAAGGCGGCGTGGGCACAGGGCAAAGTAACTATACACACCGGACAGTTCATGCAGACGACGCAAATCGTCGTGGACGGATCGGACCGCTTCATGGAGATGCTCGTCTTGTCGATGCGCGTGGGATACGGACGTCCTACGCTCAGCGCCGAAAAATAATCGCTGTTTTCGAGAAAGGACTTTAGCTTGTTCGGACAGGAAAGATCAAACTTGGAAGTGGCCAATGCTGTTATAAAGTCTAGGCTGTATTTGTTTGAGACAAACTCAATGTCCTTGGTATATTCTAGCAACCAAAATAAATCGCTATTTCTATACACGTCGGACACCTCCTTGATGTAGGTTACGCTCGCGCACAATCGAAGATAGGGGCAGCGAGGGTTGTACTTGGCGTGTTCCTCGACTGGGTCGTCGTAGTCGGCTTCCCACGAAAGCAACCGAAGTCCGCAACAAAAGCATTCCACGGTCCGATCGGTCAGGTAATAAAATCCCGCAGATGCCATGTAATCCACGTCAAAGACGTCTTCTTCTTTCGGCCGAGCGTCGAAGGAGGCGAACCTCGCAGTGTAAGTCTGAAACTCGGGCCTAAAGGCAAGCGCTCGTTCGGTCACCACCGCCGAGACGTCTGGACTCAGCGTGCGTAGCGGTGCGTCACAGTCGGATTCGTGCAGTCCTTGGGGAAGTGTTTCGTCCGAGGCCACGATAGTAGAGAGTTGAGTCTCTTGCTGGCACATCGAGCAGCTGAGAATCCGCTTCTCCGGATCGTAGGCGAGTCCTGCCATGGCAAAGTCCTTGGGTGTGGGGGTACTGTTGCGCAAAGGCCACGTCGCAAAAGTTTTAAAGTCGGACATCACCTTGGCCACAGTCGGGTCGTGGTCGAACAGTCTCCAGTAGAAAGACATGTTCTTAAGCAAAGTAGACTCTAGAAATAAAGTCGATTTTGAGTCTACGGGCCTTGCAATGTTTGAATAATATGGTGCAGTCGAAACACGACACGCAGTGTCCGCACGGCAAGTAGGCAATGTTAGCCGGAGCCTTCATGCATACGATGCACCTCTTAGTTGATTCGTCTCGTGACTTTATAGCGGAATAGTGCGTATCACAGATCGCGCTATCTATCACAAAGTTACCCCACCTACCGATAGCCTTGTGATCGAACGAAGGAAGGGCGTTCACTGGCTCAAACAGAGTGTGACTGCCCAACGGAGTCGCCTTGCTGCTCCGAATGGCACTCACCATCGCCGATACGTTCAAGGGATGCGTCAGGTTGGCCGTGTACAGAGTACTCATAGTCCTGTTGCGGAACTTTGGGTCCTTGACGAGATCGTCGATCTCGGGAAAGTGAGACGCCCAGTACATCTCGCTCCTGTAAAACTTTTCGACTGCATCGTGCACGTAGTAATAGGTCTTGTTCACTCGTAGAAACACGCAATTGGGGGACCTGCGGGCGTGTAGCAGCCACGGATCGTCTTCTTCGCAGTCGAGGATCGAAAATACTTGCACCCCGCAGTAGAAACAAACGAATATGCGGGTCACTATCTGTTCGCGGGAGAGGTAGCCCTGCTCGTCGTCGTGCGAGCAGAAAAAGCCGGCCTTGGCGAACGCAGGGCCTCGAACATCGTGAAAGGTCTTGGCTCGAATCTTCTCGTCGACGTATCTCTTGTAGACCAGGTGAGAGTAGCTCGGCAAGACGGACACGACCCTTGCTACGTTCAGCCGCGGGTCCCTGTACTGCTCGAGAAACTTGCACGGCATTCGGCGGTGAAGGTCCATCGGGTGAAACGTGAGCGTCTCCCAGTCCTGTTCGGCGACTTGAAATTTGCAGTGCCGACAGTAGATGTGTTTCCGGTCAGCGCAATATTCTAGGCCGGCATAGGCAAAGTCTCGAGGCGTGGCTCTGGTGCGAAGTCGCCATTCGGCGAACGTCTTGAAGCGACGCACGACTTCCTTGCTTATGGGATCCGTAACGAGGTGCGCCATAGCGACGATAATGAGAGGAGCCCTCTACTTGGTGCGCAATATATATTCTCTCCATATCTAGGTTGACCTCGACTGGGAGCGGAGTCGACCTCCCATAGGCGGTAGCAATTTTGTTTATTATAAAAATGTCTGTCGCAGAAAATTTTTTAGACCTGTTGAAAAAGGGATGATGTCAACACTCGGTGGATCACGAAGACGCCACCGATATTTTATTACCCGTATTCCGGCAGCGGGGAAATCAAAACGTGTCTTACAGGAGAGATGGCGATAAATACGTGCCCACGCTCCCGAACGACACGTCGACCTTACTCGGCTACTCGTCCAAGAAACTCATGCAGCACATTACCAAGGCGCGCACGACGCTCCTGACCAACGGAGATGTGGAACCGGTTGCAGATATGCTCTTTCGCGTTTTCGAGCTCGGTAGTAACATACTGATGACGGTCGACATGGATCAGATGGCCATCCAAACGCTCCTGAATGACAATACAGTATTTCACTGCGTAATGGGAATCGAATACGTACGAAACAGTCTCAACATACTTAGGAAAACCTCTTCCTCGTCGACCACTCAGCGCGTCATCAGGGATCTGAAGCCGTACGTGGACGCGTACGCTACTGCCATTCTGCGCCTGCTACTCCTCTACATCGAAGAGATATTTTCCCATGCGCGCGAGGCGACTCGCGGTATGGCGGTGGGCGCAAGGACGGCAGCCAAGATTACGGCGGTCATGCTAGTATCCCTGTGCAACTACGCGGCGGTGCGCGTAAAGTGCAACCCCATCTTTCAGTTTGAGAGCGCCATGGGCCACAACTGGCTCGACGTGGCCAACGGTCTCAGCCTCGTGCACAGGATCACGCAGCCACACACCGTCAACGAAAACATTGTCGGGGCCATTCGCGTAAAGTTTTCGCAAAACAACAAGCCACAGGACGTCATCAACCTCCTGGTCGAAGAGAGCAACAGGTTGTACACGAGTAACGTCGAGAACGGAGTGTACCGCTGCGACACCGACTACATGACGCTCCGGACCGTCATGCCGGCCGAGCGGGTCACGGACGACGTCAACATCATCGATCCGGCCATCTCTACGACGCTGCGTGACCACAACGAGCTCATCATGAAGAGTTCCGACACGATCCCCGTGCCGCGTACCAACCACTACGTGCTAGCCCTGCAGAAGGAGAAGGCGCCGGCCACCGAGGTGTCGGTCCTTAACATCGCCTCCATCATAGAACAGTGCATGAGCAACGGGCGCGTGGACTCTCGCTTCGTCGAAGTGCACAAACAGTCGGACCAGGGCACGCAGGAGCTCAACAAATTTTACAGCCAGGCCTGTTGCGTCTCGCCCCGTAACCTCGGTCTGTTTCTACAGTGCCTAAACTTTGAGATGATGGACTCGGACATGTTTGGGGCCACCTTACAGTGCCTCAAGATGACCAAGGGCATACCCACTCCGCGCCAGGAAGAAATTGCCACCTACTCAAACACGGCGCTATTTCGGATGGCCACCAACCTGTTTTATCACACGCGTTTCTGCAGGAGCTACCGCGGCGAAAACACCTACCTGTACGACTCGCGCTTCTTTAACGACTTTGTACTCTGGGTCCAGTCGCCCAACTGTCTGGAACACCACATCTCGCCTAGCGTGTCGTCGTCCATCATCTCGTGGTGCACGTCCATGTCTACTGCCATGCACACTACGCGCGACGCCAACGGAGCGAAGTGCGCCATGGCGGCCATATCCACGTGCGAGGTGGACCAACGCGTACTAGCCGACTTTTTGAACATGTTCATCAAGCTCTTTATCGAGGACGAGACCGAGATTAGCGTCATCAACAAGAAATTTCTCGAGAAGGAACTACTCGAGGCTTTTGCCTCCGTGTCTAATTGCTACAACCTGTTTAGGGGGCAGTTTGTTTCGGCGACGGCCTTGCGCCTCTTCCTAGCCCGTTGTAGGTGGTCCGTGGCCGACGACGTGGAAGTCATCGTTCCGGTCGAAACAAAGTTTCTCAACAGACTGATATGCGACAGCGACGACCTGTTGTCCAACTCGATGCGAGACAAGCTCCGTAAAACCATGGAAGACGTCTCCACGATGATGGCGCCGCTACTCTCCAATCCATCCACGTCCGCGCCTCACAGCAAGGACGACGACAGCAACGTGCCCATATGCATTTGAAATAAAAAAAACCGCCAACGCCCCCATATACATTAACAAAAAGGTTCGGTGACTGATTTGAACGATCGAGGGAGTAAAATGTTGAAACAGGTCACGTTCGTCGATATCTTTTCGCAAGAAAAAATGAGGACCCTGCGAGACTATCTCCATTGCGAACTGGACCTTTCGGTATCGATACCCTATAAAATCTGGATCGCTATCGCAAATTTCTTTATTCAAAACAACGTCCCATCGGTCGTAGAGGGAGCAGAGTGTTGTCAGAAAGACAGCTCGTCGTCCCACTATCTACTCGTCTTTTCATACAGGGACAAGGACGCCAACCGAGTGGTGGTGGACTGCATAAACTTCATCAACGTGCTGCGCGATCTCAAGGTGCACGACGTGATATGCACCAAGCACTACGTCTACCTCTACGTCCGTCACTCGTCGGCGCATCACAACGTGCATGCAATTCTACCCTTTCTCCACCACGTTCTGCAAAGCTATGTAAACGACAAGACGACCACTTTGCCACTCGATTACACTTTCGATCCCCTGGAAGAACAAGAATCCTTCTTCGACGTGATTCCAGTCACGTACCACGGCACCTACGAGGTGACCACCTCTCTACCGGCGCTCGTGGCCAAAATCAAACCCAAGGAAGACGGACAGTATGTGTCAGATCGCCTTTATTGCGAGAAGCATTGGATGTGTCTACACAATCTGGTCGTCTTGAGGCTCGTCGACTGTTTCTACTACATTACTATACAGAAATTGCAGATATTAAAAGATGTTACAAAGTCAAACATTACGTCCACCAACGACTATGGCATTTACAAAGTGTCGTATTACAAGAAGTGACTCGCTTTCGCTTGTGTTTGTCTGCTTTGCCTAAAATAAACGCTTACGCTAGCTTGCACGCTGCTATACATCTGTGTCTCTATGTGTGTGCGTCTGTGTGTGTGTGTGTCCAAACAAACGTTCTTTTATTCACAACATGTCGTTGTAAATGGCGTCGAAACTAGGAAATCGAAGGTTGCTCAGTCGCCGCTTGTTCTTCTTATAGGCCCGTCTGATGAGGCTAGTGGTGAACGTGCGAGACCAGTCGCTGCTCTGTCTAAAGATGCACAAGACGCGTCGTAGATCCATCGTCTTGATGCAGGGACACAGACAGCGGGTCTCGTACCACTTGTAGACGGCAGCAAGGGCTTCCACGTCCGACCAATTGTCGTAGTCGTCATCAAAGTCCATAGCACCCATCATGTAGAGCGCCGAAAGCGCCTTGATGGCGCTGGAAACCGCAAGGTGTTCGCCGCTAGATTCGATAACGTAACCTCGTATGTCCACCGCAGATTCCAACGCGTCGCTGGCCTTTAGGGCCCTTATGACGCTCGCAACGTCGGCGAGACTCACGCGGCACGCCTTGTTCTGCCCCATGGTCGTGATCGGTCGCGTGACGAAAGCGTTTGTTGTCGCGTCCCTCTCTACCACGCGGTCTTCGTACACAAACTCTACGGGCTTTACGTACCACGCTAGCCGGTCCTGCTGCGTGGTGTAGAGCGCGGTGTACTGAAGCAGCTTCAGGTATTTCGTGACAATCTCCTCTACTTTCTGCCGACGCTCGTTCGCCTTGGGCCAGTCCTTGGACATTGCGGCCGCTCGCCTCCGCGTAGTGGACCCTTCCATAGGTGCCGCGGCATCGACCGCCGCCAGTAAAATGTCAAAGAAGCTAGTCTCCTTCGTTGCGGCGTTCATCATTGCGCGAAACAGGTCCACCTTCTTGCCGTCCACCTTTTTAGATGAGCTTATCATAAACGGGAGCATCTCGTAGCCGCCGTACAGCAAGATTGGCACCACAAACGACAGCGGGTGAAGATCGCAACTACTGACGCGTACAGCGCGAGTAAAGAAATCGTCCTTGATGTGGTAGTAACCCGCCTGACGACTGGGAAGAGACTTGTCCAGCAGAGACACGGCGTGTTGCACGCCGCCAAACTCGAACCTGTGTTCGTCCTGTCGCTTCTTACTCTCGCTGTACTGGCGGGCCGAATACACGTAGACGTCTCGCGAGGGTATCTTTTCCACGACCGCAGCTACCCCGAGGAGAATGTCCGAATCGTTGGTGACAACGACGGACACGTCCCAGCGCTCGTCGTTTGGCGGCGGACACATTAAAGAGTCCACGACCTTGACGTCGCCTTCCCCCACGTAGAACGGCGGCAGGATCGTAAAGGACGAGAGTTGGTACGCTGCAGCCGACTCGTTCGAGTAGCCGTCAATCACCTCTTTGGCGTAGAGTGGGTTCTCGAGAAGCGTGGCATATTCCCTGACGTGCTGCATCACGTCCGAGGCCGCGGTCAATCGGCAGATTGTGGCCATGGCGTCTTTGCCGTAGCGTGCCAAGTTTTTGAGCCTTCCGTTCAGGACAGACTGCAGTCTCGAATTTTCGATGGTCCGAACTCGCTTGGTGTCCTCGCCAGACGAGTTTTTGATGACGTTGGCCAGCTCTCTACTTCGACGCTTGTACTGCTCGGGCCACTTTACCGTCGGCGACATTCCGTCAAACACCACCACCACGTCAACTTCCACACGCCTGTTTAGGGACAGCCCCTTGACGACCCTCTTGACCGTCCTAGATATGCAATGAAACACCGTCGTGAAGAAGGCGTCGTATCGGATGCAGCGTTCGCCCGGTCTCGCCTCGTACTCCTTGTCCCAGTCCAAATCTCGAAGAACAAACGCGTCGTCTTCGATATAGTCTTCGACGTAATTGCCAACCAGATCTCCGTTGGTCTCGCCAACGTAGTGTTTGATAATCTCGAGGTTCAAGGCTTCCCACGCTCGCTCTCGTTCCTCTCGGTCGGCGATCGCTCGTGCGGCATCGATCTTGTCCGCAAACGTCTTGAGATGGTGGTCCGTCAGCGAGTGCTTGCAGTGGTGTAGAAAAATGTTACCGTCGACGACGACTTGAATGCGCGCCGACTCTCCGATCACGAACGAGGACGTCACGCTCTCATAGTCGAAGTGACGCGCAGACGGCGTAGGCGAAAAATACGTCCGCAAAACGAGGTTCGTGGCCGTCTCGACGTTACTGCCGGGGTCGTCCAAGAGCTGTAACTGAGACTCGAGTAACGGTGCCAGTTCCTCCTCGACGGCGCGGTTGCAAACTGCGTTGAGTGTATTCCAAAGATTTCGGATACCCATGGTGTCAATACGTTTATTGTGTGTGTAGAAGGGCGACGCTTAAGTACTCTCATCACACAAGGTCACGCCAAATAATGGAGGTTGTGTTTTTTTTTTATTGGACGAGAAAGTGATACAGTATGCGTAATCCCTCTACCTGGGTGAAGGGCATCGGGTGACCTCCACTCGAGTGGGTAAAGTAACGCCCGCTCCCCTTGTTTAGATAGAGGAAGGGCTCTTGTAAAATGAACTTGAGGGGACAGAAGCGCTTGTTTGTTTCGGGATCGAGATGAGTGGAGAGCACAATCGACTTGTCAAAGCCAGGTAGTTCGAGGGTGCTGCCTGTGGGTACGTGCGTGTATGCCGTTTTGCTCGGCACAAAGCTGACGATCGGCTCGTTGGTTATGTTGTTGATCAGAGACGGAATCGCGGCAAGACCCCTGTTTATTCTCTCTTCCCAGTCGCTGTGTTGGAAGAGGACGTTGTCCACGGTGCGCAGCACGTCTAGTAGCCGAATCTTTTTCGTTGCCGTCATGGCGTTGGCAATCACGCTCGGAATTCCTATCGTCTCGCACAGTCGGGGTAGTATGGTCTTGACGGTCGACTCGACGCTCTCGACAATTTTCTCCACCACGTCCTCTTGCAGGCCGGAAGCCTTGAGGCAACCCACGCCGCCACTCGCGATGCCGCCGCCGCGCTTCTTTCTCACGGTTCCGTCCAGGTAGACCATGACGGACGACGTCTTGACGTTGTTGATGTCGTTGACCACGTCGGAGATGGTGGGTTGCCGCACGCCCAGAAGGACCTCCCTCTTCTTTAGCGAATGGAGCTCGGCCGTGGCCACGCCGCGCGGAACGTAGAGGCACGAGTCGTAGGCAAACTTGTACGCGTTGCGGATGGCGGCGGCCGTAAACAGGTAGTCTCCGTTGTAGGCAGAACTAAATAACTCCAGGTTGTACATGGCGCGCACGCCCAGGGCTACGGGCTCTTCGCCGACGCCACCCGTTCCGTCAAAGGGCAGATTCGTGACTGTGCTTGCCAGCATTGTTATTGCGTCTGCATTCAACCAGCCCGCCTGATAGGTCTGACTCGAAAAGATTGTCTTCTCGTCGCTCCAGTCGCCTTCCACGTAATCGTTGTACGCCGGAACGTTTTTGAGAAACACGTAGGACCAGAACATGGGGTAGCGTTCCACGAGCTTGGGGTGATTCCTAACCAAATACGTGACGTGATCGTACGGATCAATCACCGATTTGTACTGGTCGTATAGGACGCGCCCGACAAAAGCCAAGTCTGCGCTCTCGTTGGTGTAGGCCGCCCTGCGTGGAATGAGGATCTCGATGGGCAGTACGGATCTCTGGTCCGAGACGCAGACGCGGACGTTATCGACGCTAAGGATCCAGGGAAAGGTTCTGCCCAAAACCTCGTAAACGTGTTTTCTAAAGAGACGTTCGCTACCGGCTCGATGGTCGCTCGCGGAAGTCACCGCGTTCCGGAGAGTGAGACTGTCGTAAATGTCGGATCGCTTGTTCTTGTCGGTGTTTTTCCAGAAATATGCCAGCATCATGTCGTAGACTATGGTCGCATTAGATGCTACGTTTCTTTGGTCGGGTGTCGTCAGTGGGACGGTGTCTAGTCTGTGGTTCGTACTAGTACTACTACTAGTAGTAGCAGTAGTAGTACTAGTAGTTGCAGTAGTAGTAATAGTGGTCATGGGAGCCGTAGTTGTATGCACAGTCGTATTGAAAGGGGGAGTTGCGGCCGTGGTGGTGCTGTGGGGATTGTTGTAATTGTCGATTCGCGAAGAAGGCAGGAATGCACTCCTAAACATGTCCATT